TTTTGAAAAAATCATCAATAATTTGGTATCCTTAACTCATAACCTAAAAAATCACCTTCATTGTTTTGGCACACACGTAATGATTTAAGTAAATAGTCTTAAATTTGCATATATTAGGATTAAATTAATAATGATAGCAATACTCGTACTTTACCAAATAATATTGCACACTTTTAGGTGCAGGTTTATCGAATAAAATATTAGGTATGGATCACTAATAATAAGTTTGCCAATAATAAAGGTAGAAGACATACAGATTTTGTCTACATTGTAATCTGTATAGAAATTGTCTACATTGTAACCTATATATAGAATGTATAAAACGAAAGACAGACTACTGGTAGATAAAGTTAAAAGACGGAATAATTCCAAAATTTTTTAAATTTTCTTTCGGAATTGTGCTGAAAGCACGTTGTTTTAAGCGCCACGAAAAACACAATAATATTAAAAAATTGAATACAATCTCAAACAAAATCCTCTTTGAAATTTAATGCCCTAGTTAATTTGAATAAAACATTTTGCTGGCTCAAACATGCCACGCAACCAGATAGAAAGCATTTGCCTGACTATAGAATGTTTTGGAGGAATGCAATTTTGTCTTGTTCGATACAAAATTTTGTTGTACTTAGCTTTCCCTTTGAGGTGGTTGACCAATAAAATTATTTTTAATATTTTAACATTCTGGGAAAATTTTATCAATTTCCCGATCTTTAATTTTCAGTAAAATTTAGCGTAATTATTTCTTTTTTTTGTGCTCTTATAATCAGTTTTGATTTTGATTGCAAATTTTGATTAATATTAAATCTTATTTGCATTTATAACATTCACTTAAAAAGATAAAAAAAAACAAAGTTGCCAGAAAATTTCAAAAAAAAAAATATCAAATGAAAAACTCTTAAGCAATAAATAAGAAATGACAAATTCTATTTCACATCAAAGGTGTTAAATTGTGAATGAAATTTGAAATTTTCTACCATATCGGTATGTGAACAAATCTTATTCTCTTGTCATTTGAAAACCACTTGTTTCTCAACTCTTTTTTAAAATATTTTCGTATTCAGAAGAAATATTATTTTTCTATTTATAAAAAAAATAATAATTGTGAAGCCCTATAAGCCCCCAATCATTCATAGCAATATTATATGCTCGCATTATTCTCGACAATATAAATTAAAACAATTTGTGTGCGTGTGTGTCTGTGTGCATTTTGTTTAAAGTAACTAGTAAAATCTAATTACGAAAATTAACCATTTTCTATAACTTGAGGTTATTTGACAATATTCTTATTTAGGTTACTTTTTATACGTTGTCAAAATATACCCACTCACTATGTATAACTGTACATGTACAAAGTTCCGTTTAAATTTTATTTATTAATTTTTGTATTTTATTTTAATAATTTTGTGGGAACTTTAACCGCAATTATGTTATACACTTCATTAAAAATATTGCAAAATTTTTTTTTAATCAATTTAATATTTTATCAAAACTATATTGACTATATTGTCGTATGTGTGTGTTATTAAGTACCTTACTAAATACATTGTAATTTTGTTTGTTTATTAATTTTTCAATATACATATATATATAATATGTGTGTAGGTATATAAACATTGAAAATGAGTTCGACAACTTTGACATCTTATAAAACATACTATTATTATTATTTATGCTTGCTTAGAAATGTCAACAGAACTGACGATTACTTAAAAAATTTTTGAATTCTGTTTTACTTGTTTGTTTTGTTGGTCGATGGTAAAGAGTTTTGTTTTATTTGCTCATTTTCATTTATAATTTCATTTTTAAGTAGGCTAGTTGAAATATCTTTCAATTTGAGGGTAATAATAATTTGTCTATGTACAATTTTTGAAAATATATAAGCATACATACAAAAACAACAAGACAAAAACAAATAAAATAAAATTTAAGATTAAAATAAAAAAAATAACTGGATAATTACGGTGATGACCTTTATTGACGTTAAATTGAAATTTAACCAAAGTATAATAAATTATTTTGGAATATCAAAAATGGGGGTAAAATATTATGATAAAGTGTTTCTTAAGGTTTCTATCTAAATATAACAGTTATGAATAAAATATAAGTGAAATTGCAATGGAAATTTTTAACACCTGTTTAATTTGATTACTGCGTACTTGTTTATGAGAGTTACAAAATTTTTTTTCGACAATTTCACACTTTATTTTTGAGAAAAATGTTGCGGGTAAATTTATTAAAGTTACTTAATTCACTTAAGTATCGCAATTTCGAAACAAAATATATCAGTGATGAATTTAATTTAAAAGGTAAAGTAGAAAATATGATTAAAACTCTGAAATTATTTGAAATATTTTAATGAAATTAATGATTTTAATTTAAAAACTTTAAACCACATCGGCAAGGGCCTGATAGGCTTTTAATTCTTTAATTTCAAAACGAAATGTTACAAAATACTAGTTAAATAATCGTGTGTTGCCATGAACTCAGATAAAAGGAAATCATTAAATCTTTTTCTTAATTCCCAAGATAATTATACTAAAATTTTGTTGAGGTTAAGGACAGTTTCGTTGATATGTTCTGTCATCAAGACTAGTCTGATAAATTTCTTCCTAAACTTGCCAAAATCTATCAAATATAATTTTGTATATAAAATCTTTAATATACATAGAACTATATTTTATTTCCATATTTCTTTCCAGAATCTCTTTTTCTGGACTTAAGTTAGCCCAAGGCTGATTTGCGAAATTGTCCGAGGATAATATTTGTAGATTTCACTATGATCTTTCTAAAAATATTCCGTATGAGCACATTTGTTGACTTTAAATTTTTGTATAACATGCCAGAAAAGGGATCAAAAAATAAGTTTTTTGCTATAATTTCCGAACCAAGAAATTTTTTCAAAACTTTTTGTTGTAGAAACAATCGCACAGTTTTCTTAAATAATTTTCCAAAGTTTCAAGGTTTATAGAATACAACACTAATGATTTCAAGGAATCCATAGTTTTGTATTTCATAAAGGACACGCCACCAATCATACATACATATTTTAAAATGCATACATTTACATAAGTTCAGACAAAATATTTCTCAAAAATATTTATTCTTAAAACTTTTTCATTTAAAAAAATTTAATTCAAGTTTAAATTTCAAAAAAGGAATATTTTGATGTATTGGTCAGTGAATTTAAATTTCACTACTTTTAACTTCTTAAAACAAATTCTTAGGCGTATAAACTCTATAAATTAATTAAAATATATATACAAAAATTCACTACATAATTTGGTATTAAATAAGCAAAAGTTATTGAAACTAATATTATTAAAATTGAATAAATTAATGATTCAAGTAAACCGTAAGTAAACCGATAATCAATCGCTGTTATATTGTTGCAGAATATCAAATTACGTCCATAATAAGTTTAAAATAATAAATAACATAAAAAATTTTTATTGTTGATTTAATTTCAATTTAGAACACTTGATTTTAGACACTATGATTAAGTAATAATGGCTTGTTATTGCCATCATATAATAAAATTCTTAGATCATCAAATATAATTTAATATTTATAGTGATTTAAAATTTAATTAACTGACATTTAAAGACAAAGTAGTTGAATATGATGCGAATAATTCGCTTTTAAGTCTTTTACTGTTAGTTTAAATAAAATATGTTGGCTCACACCATTTTGGAACAAAATTATATTAACAACAAATACAGACATTTACGATCATTCTGGTTACTTTGGTCATACTCGCGAATGATATAATTCTAGTTGAGAATAGCTTAAAGCAATTTAATATACAATTAATTACTTCTTAAATGGCAATTCTGTTATACAGGAATAAAAATTAGCTTATAAATTTTGGAAGTCAAGGACATTTTGCTTTCATAAAATACAATTTCAGTAAATTAATATTCGTAATTTCTTCTCAATTACAATTTTAATCATAAGTTTGTGTTGTTAGGAGAAAATATAGCAGTAATACAAAACCGTGCACACAATTTCAATATTATCCCTTAAAATTTAATGTAAGGGTTTAGTAAATTTCCAATACAAAAGAAATTTTTTATAACAAATTGTTTAAAATCTACTAAAGTTAAAATATTGAAATTTTATTATTTTCGTATAAGATTACCAATTCCCTATAATTCGGTTCATTCACAGGCTTAGTACTTATTAAATTTCTTCAACTTAATCAGTTGAATTCCAATTTACGTTGTTTTAATCTTTTAGCGGGAAAATACAAATTAAAATATAGAAAATTAATTTCTTATCCAATATTATTGAGGTTGATTAAGATTAAATGGAGAATCTGTCAAAAATTTATTGTATTCCCTTGATCTAATTTAAGAAGTCTACGAAATTTTATCTATAAATTTCACAAACATACGAATCTAATTATTTTTGATTATTTTTGAATATCTTGTATTAGATTAAATAAGACTTGTGTAGATTCCAAGGGAACCGAGTGGGACAGGAGTAACCCCCCAAGCCACCGCAGCCATTTTTGATTTATTGTAGCCTTGTAAATAAGACTTAATTTTAGTCCAATAACTGAAATGAAATATAAATTGTTACAAATTATCATTCCAGTCTGTCCAATACAATCATATATTTGATGATCCTTTTCAATATAAGAAGATAATTGTTATATGACTATTGCTCCAAGTTCCTTCAAATTTGTAAAGTGCAATTAAGTAAGAAACTCCATGAATTTTTAAAAAAAGAAAACATTTTTTTGGGAATTTCTTGTTTTCAACGCAATATGAAGCCATAATTTCCGTAAAAATAACATTGGTTTTCAGAATTTCACCCAAATTACTCAATGCGTTTGCTATTTGTGTTGTTAATTGTGTTGTTTAATTAAGTTTGACTTATAAAATTTAACATTTATTAAAATCTGTGAATTCTATATTAATAATAAATTGATGTATAGAAATTTGTACAAGAAATTTCGTATATAAAAAACGCACATTATACAATTAAATTCAACTTACCTTAAAATCATTTTGACTATTTTTTGTTTTCTAAAATTAAGTCCAATAAAATAGGATAAAAATTTCTGAGTATTTCAAATAAGTTTTCAATTCTTTTAGTTTTGTTTTTTTGCGAACAAACCTATTTAATCCAATAAGTTTATGTTTTAATTTCCAAAATTATACGTAAATAATTTTTATTTTATAATTTTTTTTTTTAAATAAAAATTGTTTCCTTCATGGTTCAAATTATTTTTTTATAAAAATTTTAATCACTTTCAATTTTATATTAAATTTTATTCTTCTTTTATTTATCAATAATATTCGAGATAAAAAAAAAATTATTTTCAAATGAAAATCTTTTTTTCAATTTCTTTTATTAATTTTCCTGTTTGAGATTGAAGGTTTAATATCGATTAAATTGATGCTATAGACACCTGGTGATAATTACAATAAACACTTTCACAGAATTCTTTTTTTTAATAATTTGTTTTGTTACACGGGCTATTAAAAATTTTTTCCCCAAAAATTTTGCCTGGTTTGCTTTTTAGTTATAGCTTAATTAATTTTTTTAATTCTTAAGCTTAATATAAATATTTTAATCAAATCCAAGAAGGAAAACGAAAAAAAAATATCATACTGAGGTAGAATTTAATTTTTTTTTTATTATTATTTCTGTTTTCTTTCTCTTCTTTTTTTTATTTATTTCCTTGTATGTCTCCACAGTCTATAATATAAAACGTGAAATCGAGACGCGAAAAACTACTTTCTTAATGAAAAAAAATTCAAAAACTTTTTCTTCTAATATCAAATGACTTCTAAAAAAAAAATCGACTGATTTTTAAAAATGTTAACAAAAAAATTTCTTATAGAAAATGAAAAATTCACTTTCATACAAAAGTGGCAAAATAGCAGAATAAAAAGAGAACCGTTACACTTTACTATCTTTTTCTTGTTTTTTTTTTACACCATATAGAAAGCTATAAAAGTAAAAACGCAACCGAATCAACGAATGTCTGCAATACAACTGATTTTTCTTTTAAAAAAAATCCAGGTAAACCACAACGGCTACAAACTATAAAATTGAAAAAAAAAATAAAAAAAAAGCAGTTCGAATACGTGAAAACGAAAATATATGCATATGTAAAAAAAAAACACAAAAAAAAAATATGATTTACCATTGCCACCACTCCGCCACCTAAAAAAAAAACAAAAAAAAAAACAATTACGACAAGAAAACTAAAAAAATGCAAAGAAGAGAAGAAAAAAAAATACCAGAGTTGCACAAACACCATAACTGTTATTCGAGTACAAATTTAACAGTATATTTTTTAAAATAATTGCTTGTGTACGTTTACATAGATATTTAACATTTTTTACCGTAATTTTTCAATACAAAAAAATAAATAAGCAAATTTACTGTCTGTAACCCATGCATAGGAGAATAAAAGGCATAGGAGAATAAAAGTTAAAAAACGATGAGAGAAAAAAAAAACAGCAAAAATATAAAAAAAAACTTTAACATAAAAAAAAACCAGAAATTTTATCAATAAATTTTAAAGAAAAATTTTTATGTAACAAGCATAACGTTACAGTAATGCATAAAATTTAACAGGTATAAATATCAGCTGTTTCTCAAGATGTAATTTCATTTTTGGCACTGTTATAACAGCAATATAAATTTTTTATACACTATGAATGTGCTTAGTTTATTGAATTGAATCAGCTGTTTACTATGAGTTTAAAATTCTAAGAGAGTTTAAAATTTGAGATATACGAGTAGCAGTGTTTTTCTTTAAAAATTTCACTCAAATTTTTAAAAGTTTTTTTGTTTTATTTTATAAAAACGAGTGCTATATACAGGAGGAACTTTTATTTTTATGACTACTTTTAAAAAATGTGAAATTTAATTTCGTTTTTTAATTTATATCATTATTTATAATGAAAAATAAATTCTGTTAGGGCTCGGACAGACTTGAAATTTTTTAGTTTTGCAACTGCTTGATTTTTTTATTTGAATTCAGCTGTATGATCGTATGTAATTAAGCAATAAAACAGTTTGAAATTTTTTGTAAATTAATTGTAGTTTTTGGTTAACGCAATTTGAACTGACAGTGTAGTTTAGTTTCTTAAATGTACACGGAACGGTTTTACAATAATTGAATTACAAAACTACAAATTGCATTTCTGCCTGAGCCATTAATTACAAGTTTAACAATTTAAATTCAGCTTTAAAACTCATAGCTTGTTTGAATGTAGCTGCAAACTTGTATTTGGGGAGTCTCGTGTGTATGCAATAGTTTTGTACTATGAATGTTTGAGACCTTTCTTTTGTACAATATACAAAAAACAATCCCCTTCTATAACAGTCATACGACTTATTTATTTACTTACAAAATTTTTTTAAATTATTTCCAATACATTTCCATTACTTTGAGTGAGATTTATATTAAAAAATATTTGTCGTACTTATCTTAGAAATTGCTCATACATAACATTGCCTATAACATAAATCTCTGTAATTTAATTGATATTAATAAATTTTTATTCTGTTATTGTTATAATGCATTTTTAAAATTAAATAATGTTATTTTAAAATTTATATAAAAAATATTTTGATATGGTGTATTTTGAATTATATTATGTGGTGAATTATTTAAAGAGTAAAAGTTATTGTAATTTCTGCTTTTGTTAGATATGAAAATTGCAATAGAAATAAGTAGATGTTTGTCATTTATAGTTTTTATACATTTTGTTGAAATTTTTAATTTTCGCGTTGTTTTGATTATTTTATTGTTTGAAGGTTAGCCGGTAAAATTTTCACTGAGAAAAAATTTTCAATTTGCTCAAAAACCAATTTAGAAATTATTTACTTTTTTTTGCAAAATTCATATTTGACCATATACAAAAATTATAATTTAATAATTAATTTCAAAAGCTAGTGTAAATTTAATTAGAAATGTAGTGTTACATAAATTTCTTTTTTAAATTTTATATAAAACACTCTAAAATAGGTGAAAAAGTGTGAAATTTCAATTAATTACCAATAATTGCAGTGGCGAAATTATAAATAAATTATAAAGCGCCTGAATGAATCAATTATTTTTTATAAATTCAGAGAAAATGATGGATTTTGTTGTTAATGTTTTTATTTTTCATTTTTCTCGAAACAGTCCTTTCCAAATAAAGAAACTATTTTAACTCGTTAGGGATACTAACGATTGTAAGTCACCTCTAGTAAATGTGAACTATGAAGAAGTTACTTAACAGATTGTATTTAGTGTAAAATATAACCGATATTGTAGTAGAAGATTGCAATTATATACTAAGGAAGCTGTAGCATTCATTTCCCATTACAACAACAGCAAAAACTTTCATGTAATAACAACCATATTCTTAACCGAACGTGTTAAATTAGATCTTTATTTATATTATATAGAGGGTGTCCGAGACTCCATAGTACTTCTACAGTAGGGTGATAGAATGATTCTAGACAAGCACGAAACACCTACTGACATTTTGCTTTTTGGGCCCTCCTTCTCAATTTATGGGGTCTCAAAGTTGGAATTTCTTAAAAAACGTCGACTTTTTCGTTTTTATCGTCGAGTCAGGAAACATGATAGAAAACCGTCTGTATATACTCATTTTGAAGCCCATGGAATCAAACCTTTGACTTTTAAAAAAGAAATTGTTAAACTCCTTAAGTTAAACACTTTCAACATTTAAAAAATTAACAAATTCAACATATTTTGAACCCTTACCTCAATGAAAAATAATATTTTTAACAATTTTACACAACGTTATTTAATTGTCGAAAAAAAAAAACTTCCTTATTTCTCATTATATCTTCCACCATTCAAGATAACCGGAACTGCTGTTAAGTAAAACTTTCTCACACCCATACTGAAATTGTTTTTTTTGTTTTAATTACAACCAAAATTCGAATAATTATTTACAATTCGAGACTATATACAAAAAATCAAATGCAATTAAGCAAATTAGATATTTGAAGTGTTAAAATAAAAAAAATCCGAAAATTGATATTTACGCTTAAATATAAAATCAATTTTCAATGTTATATAAAAAAAATTTCATAGTTTCTCAAGTGCTTCAAAAATGCCAAAAATCAGATCACTTCACTTTAAAAAATTCATATCGTATTTAAAGCGAATGATAACCTAAAGATAAAGGTCAAGTTTAGTTTAAATATGCTTTTATTTATTTGTATGTATACGCAGTGGTTGTGGTAAGATTTTTTAAACTCATTAATAAAAATCAAAATATTTTCAATAAAAAAATTTCAAAACTTACTTATATATATACATACATAAGTAAATATACCTAGTCAATCTATAGTATAACAGGTACCTACACGTATTAATGTATATAGATGATCGATTATTACATTTTTAGTTTATTTTGTAATTTTTGGTAATGGTAGCAGCCTCTATAATTCTTGATGTTTCAAGGAAAAAAAGCTGAACCCATTTCAAGAATTTCATAGTACGTTTCCTTATAACAATCTACTAAATGCTTTGTTTTTCCTCTTAATGACAATAAATTTGAAAAATTTTTTATTGAAAATATTTGGATATATTTTTAGTGAATTAAAAATTCATTATGGCGTGGAAAAGAAATGACTGAAAATTCAATATGATCCTCTCATGTTTTATGGTTTGTTGTGCTACACAATTTGTCCTGTCCTAATAGAAATACTAATATTTTATTGTCATAGTCAAATTCGTACTCTTCCATTTTATAAAATTTATTTTTAATGAAATTAAGATATTGCTCATAGTTGCATTTTCAACCAAAACAGAAATTGTATATTTTTGATAAAATTGTAAAGAAGATTGTAATTGTTTAACAATTTAGTTATTGAAAATTTACAATTCTTCCTTTTTTATTCATAATTAGTTTTTGATTTTTTTGGGAAATTTTTCTCTTTATATAAGAAACACGAATACGTTCTACTGTACATGTGTGTATGTATGTCCAGTTAAAATAGGAAATTATGGAAACACAGTTGAAAATCCATTTTATGGCTTTGAAAACTTTTTAAATGAACATAAAAAGTTCTTAATATGAAGAGATAAAAAATGTAAAAATTTACTTTTAAAATATCAAGTTT